GGATGGAAGAAGCGGAACACGGGGGCCGCAATACGGAGGGGGGAGGGGACCTTGTCCTTGTTTCAATTAAAGCGACACGATTACACAGAAAAACAACGGCGATTCCGTCTCGGTCCCATGGTCGTCGCATGAAAATAATTCGGTTAGCAGGGACAAGGGGGAGGGGGGAGGGGGCAGAGGGCGCGATGACAGATTTATAAGTCGCTTAATACCAGGCGAAAAAATAACGGCTTTAATCCAGAGATGGACACCGGCCGCTCGGCGGTCTCGTTAGTCGCCACGGATTGGGAAAAACTCCGAATCGGGAGCCACGACGGAATCCAACGGAGCCGCGTAATTACCGGGTATTCCAGGGCCGGGGGTTAATTTGCATTTCAATGCAATCACGATTCACCGACGTAATCTCATTCACGTCGATTATTGTGACTCGCGACCGCTCGCTGAGCGTTATTGTTACAACTGGCTGTATATACATTATGTACATTATATGTATATATATAGATGTATGTATGTATATACACATGCGCGAGCGGTCGTGCATCGAATATTAATCTCTTGGACCTCGAATCGTTTGTTGTAGTTCTGTGACGTGAGTGAAGGTAGAAGCAGGAAAGCCTGCTACCTATGTCATCTTCCGTAATGGTTCGCGTCAGAGTTTGGCTGAATTTTAGTCGAATAATATACAGAGTGAGTCACCTAACACTTTCACCTAAAATATCTCCGGTGTTTTTAATGATACGAGAGAATGTGTAAATTAGAAAATGTTTGTTCCTGTAGGTTAGTTATTGTGATAGAGAAGATTTTTTTCTCAAGGTCGTATTTTCCGACATTTTAAAGTCATCGTCGTTTTTTTTTTATTGGGATAACGTATTTCGATTCGTGCAACGTTATAACTAATGAAGAAACAAATTCAACCATGTATTGTAAGTCAACCTTCAAATGACCTTCGGAGGAGTTATTTTTTAAAAAGCATATCTTAACGTACGAGGACGATGTTCATGCTTCCTGTATTCTAATAGGATCTCGGTAATGTTTCAGTGTTTACATCAATGAGAACCTACCAGGGTACGGGAAGCATGAACATCGTCTTCGTACGTTAACATATGATTTTTGAGGAATAACTACTCCGAAGGTCATTTGAATTTGTATTATAGCCGTTTCGGATAGATTTTTATGAGCTGAAAAAATCACTTTTTAAACAATTGCAAATTTTGAACTTTGAAGGTGTGTTATGCTTTTACAGTAGTAGTTATTCAGTTGTTTTTAACACGAAATAATTTTCCGAATTCACCCTAACAAAATGATGTAAACTGTTGTTATATTATAGACATCTAAATATGTATAAATAATGATCAAACGGAAAAGGACACCGAAAGCGCACTTATTGTTGCTGATATTCTTTAATTTATTTCAAGAATTAAGGGTCTAGGAGAAAATCTAACCGAATCAAGCAATAGAGCAGATCTTTCTGCTAATGAGGGTGTTAAAGAAAGTTACAGAATCTGTTTTCTTTTTAATAGAGAAGCGAAACAGTTCAACAAAACACACGGTGGCGGCAGTTGTACTCACAATCAGTGACAGCGGTCGCTCTGCCTATGCACGTTTAATGTTCTCATTACGCTTAGCAAAAACAACTGAACAACTATTACTCTAAAGGCACAATTTACCTCCAAAGTTTAAAATTTGCTATTTTAAAAAGAAAAATGTTTTTCTAGAACAGGTCGTGCTAGGGAAAACGGTTTGCAGATTCATATTCAGATCATAAAGATCTATCAGAAACGCCTATGAACGATTATGAGGTAGGAAAAAAGTTCAATTTTGTTGAACAGTGTAATTATCTAGAAGAGACGGCCTCAACTCCAATTTTGTTGAATTATGGATATGCTGTAGAGGGGAGGGCCCTGAGTGACATGCATTCTGTCGGATGGGTGGTACGATCGTGGTTGAAAAGTTATGAGAAAAAGAAAATTCTATATGTTACAGTACATTTACTCCAATATAATAGATCAGTAGAAACAGAGTGCAATGAACAGACGCGTTAGCTAAGGTACCAATCCAGCGCTAACCATGCACCAATTATACCACCACACACATGTTTAGTTATTAATATCTACAAAAAAAAAAGGAAAAAAGTTTCTTCATCAGACCCCAGAACACATCGTGTGCGTGTCTTGTGTTTGGTCGGGTGTTGGGTGTGTGATTAATACTGGATTGAGACTTGGCTGACGTGTCTGTTCATCGAATTCTGTTTCTACTTATCTATTATATTGGAGTAAATGTAATGTAACATGTACAATTTTCTTTTTCTCATAACTTTCGAACTATATCATTATTCTACTGGTACTAAAGTCTATCTATAAGTTCGTGCTCATTTTTTATAAATATTCATCGAGAAACCACAATTACTTAACCAGTTCATGCATATAATATTATCGTCGAATTTAGAGCAATGCTACTTGAAGCTGTACAGTAAAACAAATCCATGAAAATATATTATAGCAAAAATTATTACAATGAAATTTATTTTATCACTTCACATGTACATTTTAACGTCTTTTACGAGTTCCATTGAGTAATACGCATATCTTTCCTTGTTAGAATCTCCAGTACGTTGCATCGAGTACTGAACATAGTTGCATTGCCAAGTTTATGTAACAATTTGGCAAGAAATTGGCTAAGACGTCTGACAAGAAGCTATAAAATTCGCGTAAAATACCGTGCATGGAACAATACTTTATATTCCTTTCTAATTGAACGAATATACGTCTACGTAATAATAAAATTTGTATCTTTATGTTCTAAGTTTGATTTCCTTCTTTGCACATTGAGTGATCATTACGTTCAAATAAGGACACGAGCAAATCACCAAGTCTGAAGAAAACGAAGTATAAAATTCGCTTTAAAAGTATAATAAATTATTATTTCACCACAGAAATGCATACGTACGCACTAAAATACGAGAATGGAAATGTTGAAATAGCAATAGAAGAAATAATGCTCTTATTGAATGACAAAAAATCGCAGAAAATGACGAGGAAAATTTATATTTAACGCTGGAGCATTAACATCTGCTCTTTAATTCCAAACGTGAAGTATATTGTTGGATTTTTCCAGCACGCTGAACTATGTTACTAATCGTCAATAAACCAGGCTTGACTTTTTATGATATTTACTGCTCCTTTCACTTCAGCTATCGCGAAGTACGAAGTATATGCAAACGCGATAAATATACGTTATCGAAAAGACATATGAAGTAGATACTGAATCAATTTATCATGTACATTAATTTTTATTTTAAATTCATTATTTAAAAAAAACTCTAATTGAATACAGTAAATAATTTTATATACTTCTGAAGATAGGAAGTAAATACGAACGTAGTTTATTAGAACGGACTTTAAAAAATCAGTTATTAGATTGGTGGAGATTTATGCAAATGAATAATATTTAACTAAACGTTATGTTCGTCTTGCAACACCTATTTGAATGTAAACTGGTGGCATACTTTACCTCTCGAAGGAGAGGCAAGATAGTATCACCTAAATCGTGCATTATAATATCACGAGTCACGTATTATGCATATGTATATCACCTACAGCCCTCTATTGTGTTTTACAAAGCTAAAAAGGCTTTGTATGATCCACCGAGTGCAATTAACATGTTTTACATTAATTTAGAAGAGACACTGCGATCGATATCTTTACAAAAATCGTATCAAATAATTTACACAATGAAATCATGTTATTTTATTGACAGATAAATCATTGAGTCACAACCAAAAATTTCCCGAAATTCACAAAATAATTCCCATTTAATCTTTCCTTATAATATCACAATATACTGATCAAAGATCACAGTGGTGTTTAAAAAAATATTAATACTTATATGGAAGTAACTTTGTTAGAAAAACAAAACTGATAAAACAGTATATCGTATTCACAAATGTATTTTCTCTTGGAAGACTCACCACTTATGCACCACCACTGTTAATACATTTTTTGAATTTTCTCCAGATGGTCTCCAGAACCCTGAGGTACAATTTTTCTTAATATTGTTGCAGTCGAATTTGCAAAGAAAAGAAAAGAAAATGTAACGATTATTCACATAAGTGTTAAAATTTTTCTAAAGCACCGTATATACAGGGTGTCTCACCTAACATGAGTACCTTAAATATCTCACTTACTTTTGATTTTCCGAAAAATTATTTTAACAAATGCTCAAAGTGATGTCTATCAGTTTCGACACCTTTTTGCACTAATCCCTCTATCGCATTTGCTTTATTATTTAACTCTACTCCCTTACATTTGTAGGTTTTTCATACTCGAGGTTAAATGAAGGTTACACTGCTATAGATCATTAGAAAGGTCTTGACCTAAACTATTACGCCTTGATGATAAAAATATGTAGTCCCATTTTAAAAACCACCGTTGACATAGAAAATTCAAAAGATATGACCCTAAGAAAAATGTTTCGTTTATCACAATATTTGCCCTTCCAACCAAATAACATTGTTCGCTCACATTTTTGTATATCTTCAAAAACAAGTGTGACTTCAAGATGCTCTCGTTAAGTGGGACACCCTGTATAAATTTATGGAAGTAAATTAAGGCAAACGTACTGGTTCCATTCAAATCCAAGTAAAATCTTATTTCCAGTCTTGTCGGTATTCAACCTCTAGAACAAACGTACACCAGCAACGAGCTTAGAGCTCTTTTTCTCCCCTAACAGACGGCCATCAATAAACTTCTCCGAGGGTAATGGCGAGACCAGCCGTAAGAGAAGGCTTTAAATTCGATGCTTTCGGTCAAAAAAAATGTGTCCGCGACACCGCCACACCTCCTGCGCGATAATTAAGGTCATATTTCACCGCGAACCCCTCCCACACACACTATACTTCGGTATTCACGGCTAAAATCACGGTCGTCGAACGCCCACGCGGCCCGAAAATTCAGCTGTGAACGCTGTGAAAGTAATCGCACGATCCTGTTCTTGGTTTCCAGTCAGAAGAGGCAGCAACAGCAGTACCACCATCAACAGCAGCACCAGCAACAGCATCAGCATCAGCACCAGCACGCCTCCTGGCACAGGACCACCTTAGCGTCCTGACCACGGTGACCGTGACCCTGGCCGCAAACCGAGCAATAGTCCTGGTGTTCCAGGGTGAAAGGGTTCCAGCTGGCGAGAAAATACGTACCAGCGCGATTCCTCTCGCGGCCCGGTCGCGAAACGATATCTGCAACCACCAATCAGGAGAACGGACACGCGGGAAAAGAGACTTCGACGCGGGAGACGCAACGTACGTTCGCGTACACATCCGTGGTCATCATCCCTGTCGGGGCTCTTCGCTTCGATCATCTTCGTCGCGCGGGACTTCCGAGATTCCTCGCGGTTACCATTGTCGAGGGCTCCTCGCGATTGCCTCTGTACAGGTGCCCGTGAGTCCATATTTGCTGTGTGTGTGATCGGTTCCACGGAACTACTTCGAGCGATGTTTCTATCCATAGAATTCTGGGTAATCGGTCCTGCTGACAGGAACTGTTCGATGTCCCTTAACACTTTGACCGCCGGTTAGTTCGTTCGGTTGACACACAGCGCCATGTCGGTAATCGATGACCGACAGCACACTGACCGCTCGGGTCCTGTCGGTTATCGATAAATAGACTGCGGATTTTTATGCAAAATTACAGTTCATACATAAAGTGATTCATGAAGGCAAGAGCAAAAGTAGGAATTTTTCATTTCTTTGAGGTCTCTTATTGGGTTAAAGGTAAAATAAAAATTTAAAAAGTTCTACTTTTGTTATAAAGTGTACTGCTTATGCTATAAGTGCATAAAATCTGTAGTCTATCTGATAACTGACCATGTGAAGTGGAAGAAGGAATACCAAGCATATTCCTAAATGGAGGTGGTAAGGTTATGAAAAAGAAAAATGTTTAGCGGAATTTTTAGAAATATTAACGAGTACGATACAATGATACAATTATCATTTGCAAGGAACTTGTTGAATAGCATCAGACAGAGATAAGATGTTCCATCGCAATTATCGCAGAATGTTATTATTTTTATAGGTCTATTTCTAGCACTTTTTCCTCCAAATCATGTTGCACTGTCTTCGTAACGTTTCTTGCAAAATTTTCTAATCTCGGACATTCTTTCGCTTTCCTACTGTAATTTATGACGTAATTTTCGACTTTTATTTATATCATCACTAATGTAAAACGTTTTAATTGAATTGAAATTGATCGAGTCGCTGAAAAGTAAGTTACTAGTTGAGAAATGCGAAAATTATGATAGATAAATTTAGAGGTGTTTCACAAAAGTACAACATTTTGGCTTGTTTTTTTGGAATATGAAGGAACGGTAAAAAGTTGTTTCGTAATCAACGCGAAGAGTGCTAAAGAAGATGATTCGGTGGTCAATGTGTTAAGAAAGGTCGTTTTGATTACCAGAACTTTTGTACTAATTGTTATACAAAGAGCTCTCGTATATACCAGGGATTTTTAACACTTTAATCGTCACTATCGAGTCTCAAATATCACTCTTACAAAACCTTTTACCATAAAAAGTAAGGTTCAGTTTTATTATTTATCTTGTTTTGTTGATGTGTACGGTTAAAAAAGCTTTATTTACAATTAAGTGTTAAAAGTTTCTAGGTTGAACATTATTTTCCTTCGGGTTTTCTGCATCTCATAGCGACAGATAACGCGTAGGGTGCAGATGCTGCAATACGCTAACAATAAGTTTCATATCAGTTTCTTCGTTTTCTGTAAAAATCTATTTATACATCATTATTCTACTGGTATTAAAGTCTGTCTATAAGTTCGTGCACAATTTCTATAAATATTCATCGAGAAACGATAATTACTGAACTTTTGTTCGAAGTCTAACCACGAAATCGTTCGTTTTCGTGTTTAAAAAGGATAGTTTATGACTTTGACGTAAACAACGTTTATATTCGTCCGTAAGCATCACTCTATTAGCTGATTCCCATCTGCCAATAAAATATCAAGTCAAATAATAAATAATATAAAGAAAAGAGAAACTAAGATTAAACATCAGTAACAATAAGTGAAAACTATCGTCAGGTTAATATTGATATTGGATGATAAACACACGAATTTATGGACTGACAATGTGTGGAACTAATGTAAACGAATCACACTGAATTCGAGACAAAACTGAGAGCCGTACGAAACGTTGCAACGATCAGACTTGCCAGAAAATCGGATTTCGAGAGCTCGATCTCGGTTCTCGCGGAACGGCGAGACGTGACTCACTCGTTTTTTTAGAAGAAGTAGAACAATCCAGCCTAGTGGGTAGCAAAAAGGTATTTACCAGCGGGCAAATAGAATGTTAAGAATCTGGTAACGATAAAGCCGGAATTGGGAGCAGTATGTAAATAAAACTCACGTGTTTCTCGTGCCGCGCGCGAAGTGCAACGTAACGATAATGGATGTAATTTCGTAGAAGTCCGATGCAACTTCGTGATAAGCGAAACCCGCGGAATGGTGTGCGTCCCATTTCGAACACGGCGAGGTCGTTGGATTTCGTTGTATCCTAACGAGCCGAAATTCACGGTTCTGTTCGTGCGCACGATCTTTCGCAGATTAGGGTTTTCGATGTTACACGCAAAGCTGAAGAAACGTTCACGTAATTTCTGTGTATACACAGCAAGGAACAAGCGTATTGGCGTCTACAAGGTTAATATTACCCTTGGTATGTGTTATTAAAGCATCTTAAAGGATAAAGAATGATTAGGAATACGGTGGAACTTCTGTTATGCGAACTGGCCAAGCGACAGAATGGAACGATGACGCTTTTATGTAAGGATATTAAAGAAAACTGGATTCAGTGATGTTCGGATAGTCAAGGTTCTACTGTACTCGGATATTAGATCGTTGCATATAAAATAACGGTTTCACTAATTTGTATATCTGACTACACTTTTGTCAACAAAAATCATTCAAAGTCGTAGACGGTATATTGCAAGCCATAATTTCAAGATGGCAGCAGGGAGAAAATTTGAGGGGGAAAGTAGAGGAGATTGAACCTTGTAGATTCCAATTCAATTGGTCATCAATTTAAAACCTAGTACGCACTTGCGAGCAGTTATTCGATAATTCGGTGTTCTCTGAGAAGCGATCCGGTAACATTTTGTTCCACAATGAAATTATCAGTTCTACCTTTGTCCACAAATGAGAATGATAATACTGGAATTCTTAAAGCACTACTCTAAAATTCACTGTCAATACAAGTGCGTGTTAGCAAGTACTGGTTAACTTAACACGTTTCGTAGATAACGTTATGTTCTCAACTTCCGACAACACTTGAAAGAACTAATCAAAAAGACGAATTACAATATTTAATTATAAAGGAATAGCAAAAGTAGCAGTCACCTGAAACTCTTCGTAAATTGTCCGTTACCCTATCCTAAGATAAAGATAAGAAATAAATGCCACTGTCGCGTGAACCACCTATGTGGCGCGGAACATATTAAGTGTGTGTCCTCGAGTTAACGATTTTGTCGATTAATCTTCACGGAACTACGATTATTTAGTGAAGATAAATGATTGTTACAGCTAGAATCATTTTTCTCGTTGATGCAAAGGGCAATTGATTTCCTTACGCCTACAAGCGTATACCTTAAAGGAAACGTATTGGTTCCCGTTGATTATTTAATTCCACGTTTGAGTTCTTCATTCGATTCTGTTCGTTCTTACGTTTTCCGGTTGTTTTAACGATCGATATTATTGTTATTCGACCACTGTTACAATCTGTTCGTAGTGTAAAGAATTGTTTCGTCGAAAGCGGGATAAGCAGAGTACGTATAAGCGAGGAAATGTGCAATAACCTAACCTTCCCTTGCGGACACTTCACACCGATCGTCATGATGATCGTGAAATCCGTGTGATCTGATCGGGACGAAGTATCGATAAAATGCGAATAAAAAGTATTTGTATCCTACGTCCAAGTCGAGTTTACGTGAAAAGGGCATTCGTTTGGTAATTTACGCGTATCCGCAACGAGGTTGCAAATTTTGAAACGGTTCGAGCATGAATGAATACGAAGGAATCCATAAGAAATATTCCGTTATCTCCATAACACAAGGCTCATTCAAGCGTTTCGCGTAATTCATCAAAAAGTTGTCATTTTGAAGCTGTCACGCCTCAAAATCGATAGGGGCTTTCGTATCGCTGGTCACGAAGATCTTAATATAGCGTCAAACTAATTGGGTCAAATCAATTGTTTATAACCCAGTTCCGCCGCGGTTTCAGCTGTCCCCGTATTAGTCGTTCGGTGGAAAATTTCCGATTACAATTTATATGAACGTCGAACAAGGATCGGGTGGTGAATGTACGCATATTGATTGCGTGGATGCGCACTATGTTAAGCGTCTATGAAAGATGGTCACGTGAAATATTAACGACTAATAGAAAGCGACGGGTGTAAAAAAAAAATTGAAACCATTACGTTGCCTAACTGTTCAGGTGGAGGAACGTACGTAAGAGTATGTCTTATAAAGTTATTGAAAAAGTCAAAAGTTATCGAATATTTCGGTTAATTTTATTTATCGTCATCTGTGACATTAAATTGTATTTAATTATATTTAATGTGAGATATTTTAATCTGATTTGATAACACGATCATAAAAGTTGAGTGTGTGCCGTACTTAACTACACTTCTGTTAAATAATTTATTAAGAAACATATCATAAATTCTGCTGTGTAAATAAGTATCGTTTTTAATTGCCAAGAGATTGTTACATAAATAACTTTTATTACCACAAACAATTATTTTATGGACACTACAAGTACCTACAGTTGTTAAATAGATTACTTTTAATACTTTTAACCGCTCGTATACGCTTCGATGAGCGAATGGAGCAAACAAGGTTAGGTTAACAAGCGTTGAAATATTTGCACCGGAAGGGTTAATAATCGCCCGGTATTGCTATACAAAAGAGTTATTTTTTTTTGTACGTAGCTCGTTTTTCATTTGTAAACTCGACTCCGGCAAACAAGATTAAAGTGTTTGAGACACGACCTATGCCACGAACATATATCAAAAAAATGGAAAGATTGTAACTATGCGCGTCTGAAACGACGAAAATAGGTGCTATTCGATGGTTAAGTGGAGGCGAAAAATGTATTTCGATGAACAGAAGGCACGTGAAAAGCGTATAGGTAGATCCTTTAGGTAGAAAATATTTTACATATTGTATACATAGGAACACACAGATGTACCGTGTAAACA